TGTTTCTATGTCTACAAAACTCAGTTGAAAGGAGCGCCTGCCTTGGGATTCACCCATCCGTGGCGGGGTGGGCTCAAGTCGCTTTAAGCGCTCGCAGTTAGCAGTGCTCTAGACTGGGATGGGCTGCAGCTGGTGATAGCAATCGCGTTAAAGGTCAGCTGACGTCAGCGGTAGGACAGACCGTGCCGGCCATCAACCCGCATCTGGCGCAGATCCTAAATTTACCGCAGGAAATTACAGTTTTCTACACAAAGAGCCTCCTTTGCTATCATATATATATATATATATATATATATATATATATATATATATATATATATATATATATATATATATATATGCATATATATATGCATATATATAAATATATGCATATATATATATATATATATATAATATATATTATATATATATATATACATATATATATATATGCACATATATACACAATATCTATCTATATCTATATATATATATATATGTACATATGTATATATTCTTATATATGTATATATATATATACATATATAAATTTACACTTATATCTGTGTACATGATATCTCAGCCAGAACCAGCCGCGGGCGGTGGGTGAGCGGTAACGACCCTTATAAAAAACATTGCTTTCGAAAGCTGTAAGAAAATCAGTTCGTGCGGATTGAGAAAAATCCGGACCGATTCAGAAAACTTTGCGCCTTGGATATTTTCTTATGGAATCTATCAACAGATCAGTAGTTACCGGACCAATAGTCTCGCTATATTAGTAAAGCTGGTCACTTAAATCACCATCATCTATTCTAGAATTATTATAACACGAGTGTTTATCAGCGTGACAGTTCCCATGAACTTCACGCACATCGCAATCGTTAGTGATTCGCACCTGAACGTTGCTGCTTTCAAAAATACCAAACTGAAAGAGTGCAACTCCTATTGATGCGGGAAGACGTGCAGTGCTGAAGTTGAACTGACATCGGCGTCGCCATTAAGCATCATATGCAGTGCAGACACCAAACACTACACTGAGGACGCACTGATGGTGGCAACCGGAACGCTCGCGTGTTATTTTAGCACGATCCATTCCGACAAAAAAAAAACGAGTCTTGCTGTGAGCGTTTGGGATGTTGAAACTTGAGCTGATCGCGGTGGTGGTTGGAAAAATTGAAACAATTTCCACTTTATGAATGTGGTACGATGCTGGCTAGTCTCCGATGCGTGGCTAATATTGAATTTTTTGAAGGGGCTTTTAAGTTTTGAAAAAATGTTTTTTACACATTCTTCGTACTTTTACATATTGTTACATCAGACACATACAATTTAATCAGTAACACCAGTTTCTCGAAATTCTTCTGAACAGGTAGAAATTTCATTTTGAAGTAGCCGGCCACACGCGAGGAGTCTCATTTGACTCCCTGCTCACCACTATGAAAGTAATGCATTTCATTTGGCTTGCTTTTTACGTGTGTTTTGTAATGCTTGCAACATCCTGTGTTAAAATGTTTGTGTAATAAAGGCTACAAAAGCTTGAAACCCTGTTTAGACGAAAGTGTATGCCAACCTGACGAACCTGAATTCAACAAAATATTATGCTATGGCTTTTATTTCTCCTTTGCGGCGTTCGCCACATTGGCTCTTTTCGAGGAGTATTTTGGCTTTGGTAATGGGAGCATCACGTGACCCATGCGACGCACTGGTTCAAACTTCAATCAATGCACTTCTCAGTTGCAAGCAACATGGTAACTTCAGGTAACAGGCCGTTGCTCAATTGGGCCAATCACAAACGTGCTTATATTCGCACCAGTAAAGGTGTGCACGGTGGTTGTCATGGCGGCGCTGGTCACAACTGCAGGAAAGAAGCAGAGTGCTGTTACAAAGCGTTGACAGCGTAATTTGGACTCGAAAATAATTAAAATGGATGTCCTTATTATGTCTTGACGGCGCTGCCGTGGCATTGCCCAGCGATACTGCGGATAGTCGGGGGTGAGAGTATTGCGGCGTGGAGAGCTTACCGTATATCGTGCAACCTGGTAACGGGTTTTTGCTCTTCGTGATCCGCCCTAATTTGGAGGGCGTGTCTCCCTTTCTCTCGGCCGGGGTCGGCATCAGCTTGATGCCAACGCCAATGTTTCCGACCGGACCTGCACAACGCCCGCAAACATGCTAGTTTCGGCCACTCAGCCGCAACCAGCAGATTTGCAGCACAGTCCCTGAGGTGCACGTGAGCACGCTTGTGCTACTCTGCCCGGGTGCTCGGGTCCCCAGCTTATGAAAAATATCAGGGCGACTTCCGCCTCTGTTCTCTTTCGTCGCCGAAGATAGCGAGAAGCGCAATAATAGCATTAGACGTAACTAGTCCAGAGGTTTTTACAAGAGCATGCTTTTGATGAAACACGCACCAAAGGTGGGACGCTCTCTAAGTCCACGCAATCACCGATGCATAAGCGACATAGGTGACCTGGGATACCTCTCTTGTCGAGCCACGTAAAAGTTTACTGGCATAAATATTGGGAATTCAATGTCAGAATGCTGCGTCCGTCCCAGCTAAGATGGGTGAAGACAACTATTAAAGTAATAGTTTTAATCAATAGTTGTTTTAGCTATCAAGTCACAGTTTTTTCTGTTAACCACCGGTCGTAGCGAGGTGGTTTGGTCGTGTCACGGTTAGCCATGTCATTTCAGCTGCTCAGAGCTGGTTTGGGGTGTGCCAGTAGCGACCGGAATGACATTACTTGAACGCTTCTCCACAAGTGCACGCACGTATTGACGTCATCGTGGACTCCCAATCATTCGTGTTGAGCGCACATCTGCATGGACGCAGCGGGCAATCTCGAACGTTCGTAGTGCTATTTATGACTGCTGATCCGCCCAGAGGATCAACGTAAAAACATCCCTGGTGAAATACGCGTGTCATACTGTCTTGGTCAATTCCAAAAATGCGTTTTTACTACATTTGGAAACATTATTTTCCAATGCGTGGTCGTTTTCGGCCACCCGCCTCCCGCCGCGTAGTGCCAGCTGTGACGGCCGACACTGTGCGGCAAGCGGAGGTTGCAACGCCAGGCTTTGATGCCCGAGTCTTAACAATGTTAACGCACAAGTTCAACACGTCTGCCTGCAACCATCTGACCATATTTTTCTTCATGCAAAGCCCAAGGAAAAACGGCTAAATATTGGTCATCCGCACGTTTTTTTTTAATTTTAAATTCACCCTGACACCCATGAGTCCATGCCAACTTATCCTGGATTCTTCGTCCACTGTACGTGGCACACAATTCTTAATTTCCTTGTTTCAAGCTTCCATCAGACCCATTTCTGAGCATGTGCTAGTGGGACCAGTGTCCTCACCCCGAAGAACATCACTTGTAACGCATGCCAATTAGGTAACACGCGCTCGGATAAGATCAATTTGCCCCCCCCCCCCCCCCCCGCCTCTCCAAGAGTTTTCCGGAATGATTTTGCCACACTGTTCGGCCAAAAGCAGTGCCAAATTCTGCATACCTGTTGGCCGTTTGATGACGGATCTTTCGGTCCAGCAAATTACATTTACCTCGTAAGGTCGCTGACCCACGGCGGTTGAGTCGGGCCGTGGATGCCACTCCTTGGGAATCGTTCAATCTGGTGGCAATGGAGTGCTAGACAAGGGCATACTTTCTTGAAATAGTTTCTTAGGCATATATCCATTCCATTTAATATCCATTCCATTAAAGCTAAATAAGCTTTTTTGACATGGGTTTAGGCATGAAAGTCAGACCGAGGCGAAAACTAAACTGCCCTTTTCCTCAATAGCTTGTTTAACTGAGTGGTTTCTGGCGCTCATTTCGAATTTACTCATGACAGGAACCACAACAAACATGTTTCAAGGACTTTGTAAAGATAAGGAGTGCCTTGGCATTCGAACAGGTAAGACCCCGAAAAGAGCAAAGAACGCTTCGTAGATGGACAGTCAACAGTGCAGGACCATTCAACCACATGTGAAGAAGCCAAGGGTACTGCGGAGGCCCGGGGCAATTGAGAATACCCGGCAAGTCAGCATATTTGGCTCCCGTCAACAGCGTAACGACCGCGGAAAAGCGCAATGGACTCTAAAACGACCCCAGGCACAACCCTCCAAAATAGCCAAGTGACTTTTGTCTGTTCTTCGGTTCTCCGGCTCTTCTTCTAGGCCTGGAGGTCTGAAGAGGTCCATCTTTGCGTTCTGCGTTGATCTGCTCAGTTCGGAGGGCCCTTCAGTTTTCTTTTGCGCCACAGGGCTGGCCACATCTCCCCATTCCCACCCCCTTAGATCGTCCCGCAAAACTTTTGCTACCAAATCCTGTCTTTAACCTGCAATTCCGCGACAGGGTGGTGGGCTAACGACACGTGCAAGAAACTCCGCTTGCCGTGTGGTCCGTTCACAAAAATTATCCCGGTCAAAGGTTTCGGAAAATCTAAAAATGTTAAAATATGCGGCGTGCCTGTTCTATGACGAACGAGGGAAATGCTTTTGCACTGCTTCCCAGTCAGGAACAAAATAAATGCAAAACGCCAACACCAAATTATTCAACGTAGTGTGCAACACCGCACTGACCAAAGGTCATCAGTCTGATGCTTGCAAGCTTGGAGGTCATGTGCACCGTGGTCTTCTAGCAGCCAAACCTTGTGTTTCTCAGCTGCGCTGTATTAACAAACGAGGAAATCAAACCACAACAAGCCACGCCGATCTCAATATAACATAGTCCGCTTATGACAGAGGCAAATCCAGTGGAAAGTCAAATCCAGCGGTTAGTTGAGGTCAGTATCGATTACGTAGCCCTTCAGCCTCGGCCGCCGCCATAGCCACCCCTGCCGCTGCCCCTAGTCCAGCCGGCGCCCTGCACCCTGCCGCCGCGACCCCGCCACGCACCCCTGCCGCCGCCGCCGCCGCCGCCGCCGCGAAACTCGCCGCCGGCCCGGCTGCCGCCGCGGTGGTCGCCTGCTCCTCCTCCCCCCGGCCGCCGCCGCGGAAGCCGCCACGGAAGCCCCCCCACCCCTGCCGCCGGGCTGGCCAGCGTCGCGCGGCTTCCAGCTGGGCATCTCCGGCGGCGGCGCGCGCTGCTCGCTCGGTCGGCCGCCGCGGTCCGGCACGGGTCCGATCACGACTCGGTTCAGCCCGGTGCGCGTGTTGCGGCGCACCTGACTGCTGCAGGTGCGCTCCTCCACAGCCAGGTCGGCACGCGCCGCCAGCAGATCGGCCAGCTGGACGGCCGGCTCGCGCGTCATGGCGGCCCGGCGCGCACCGAACGCCGCCAGCACCTCCTCCTGGCGCTGCTGGGCGCGCGGTGACCAGCGGAAGCTCTGCACGGTCACGTCTAGCCGCTTCAGCAGCATCTCGCGCCGCAGCCGGTACTCGTGCTGTAGCTCGGAGGCGATACGCTCCAGGTGGCGCCACTGCTGCTGGCTGAGCTCGCCGCTCCAGAGCGGCGTGCCGACCAGCGCCGGCGGCGCCGCGCGCACCACCTCCCCCAGCTTCTGCTCCACCTTCGAGAACAGCTGCGCCGGAGTGATCTGCGCCGGCGGCTTGGGGAAGTTGAGCGCGAGCAGCGCGCGCTTGAGGGCCGCCGCCGTGGGCGTCTCGGCCGTGGGCGGGCCGGCCGGCGGCGCGTCGGTCGCCAGCATGCGCGCCGCCTGCAGCTCGCCGCAGAGGAAGTCGAGCAGCAGGAGGCGCGCGGGCCGCGCCGCCAGCCGCGCCTGCGTCGGCCCGTCGAGCAGTGGTGCGTGCGGACAGCGCAGCTCGCGCAGCACACCGCTCAGCTCCAGCTGGAAGTCGTCGGCGCCGCTCTCGGCCGCCACCGTCTCCTCCAGGTGGCAGAGCGGACCGAGCTGGCCGACCAGCCAGGCCACCAGCTGGCGGAACTGGGCCGACTCGGGGCCGCCGTCGAGCGCCGCCGTCAGCGCCGCCGGCTCCGAGCACGGTCCCGGGTACTGCAGGTCATCCAGGCAGTCAAGAACGTCGTTCTCCATGGCGGGCTGCTCCCCGGCGGGCGGCTGCTGAGACGCAGATTCGGTGCAACGGCGCAACGCCGGCAGAGTTGAAGCGCAGGACGGGTTGCCTTCGCGGCGGCGCCTACCGGTGTGCTGACTACGATAGGTGCTCGCTGGCTAGTGCAGCCGGTGTTACGACAGCATCAGCGACTCGGAGAGATCGTCGACGCGCTCGTCCACCGACTTCTCTTCCGGCAGCGCAGCGGAGGCCTTCGCTGGCTTCTTGGGTACGTCCGTCGGCTTCTTCTCCGCTGGCTTCTTGAGGGCCAGCTCCTTCTGCTGCTCTCCCAGCTGCTTGTCTAAGGCCTCGACGAGAGCCTGGTTGTGAAGGTTCACCTGTAAATGAATTATGTGAGGATGACATGAGCACGTCTGATGAAACGAAGAACGATGCGAAACCGACGGTATGGACACACTGGATACTGTGGACAAATCAGTGAGGTTTTGAAACGTGACTAGCTGACCGTGACAAGAACTGGAGATGCACAGCAAGAACGACGCACCGTTTTCATCCCAGCGGCATTCGATAGTCAGCCTCACATCACGGCTGCAAAGCAGTCAGATATTAACAAACTGTGCCTTGCACAACTGTCGTACGGTACAATGCAGCAGGATTTCATCACCCTCAGACCAATATGCCCGCCGATACCGCGTCTGTGACACAATGCTTTCACAAGGGCCGCTATGTGGCTTACGCTCCAAATCCTTGTACACGATGCACACCTCGTCCGAAGCAAATGGCCGATGCACATAGCCGTTGCGAAACGACACTTAATACCACCAAACGCGAGTTTTTTCTTGGCACACAGCGCACGTGGCTGGTTTGGAAATAGCAAAAGTTCTGCAGAATGCAGGAATGGAAGAGGTCGAGGATTGAAAAGCGTAGCAGACGGTGAGGTCATGAGAGAGGAGATGATGAGAGTACGGGTGCCCCAGGATGAGGTACGGGTCGAATGAGCAATGGTATGAATTGTAAAAAGAAATCCCGCTCACATGGATATTCATCAAGGGATGATCAGTAATTTTTGTGTTGTTTTTTAAGCCAAGTAATATTAAATACTGCCTTTCCTTCCTATGTAATATTCAGATCAGGTACAGACCACGAAATCCACGACGAAAGTGGCGTAATAGCCTGCCTCATCCAGCCGTTTCATCGGCCCGTGGGCAACCACCATTGCAAATGGATTGTGGTAGACAAACAACCGCCATTGCAAATGGATTGTGGTGGACAAACAGACACCGCCAGCCGAATGCGGCGCAGTTTTGAAGGCGATATTGGCCGGACCGTCATCGATGTTGTCACCACGTCCTGCGCCGTCCACTTCACCCGGGCCTCCCGCAGCGTTAGGTCAAAGCCGCCACTGTAACCCAATGACCGCAACAATGACACAGGTCCGCAGCTCACCTTAGCATGTTTAGATAAGTGCGGTGTCTGGGCGACCAAGGCCACAAGCGTTACGAAAAATGACAGCAAATCGCCAGCTATTCCGGCTTTAAGAACAGTTCACTGGCCTGTTCCATCACACCATTCCTATGACTCAGCCAATCAAGCGCGCCGGTGCTCGCTTTTGGTCATTAGCTCCTCACGAAGCGAGACGGGCACATGCACCGGACGACAGGCGAGACGAAACAAATGTTGCAGTCAGTTTGAGCCAGCTCATCGGCTAGGTTTGAAAGAAAGCCCGACGCCTTGAATGGTTTCAACTCAGGCATTACACCACCGGGCAGAGGTCCCAGACATCTTTGCACTGGTCGGTACACCATAATGACGATTTGACACACATCACTTGTGGAGTTGCGTACTGCTCAGGCAAGAAGGGTTTGATACGCTACAGAACATCCCTCTCAACATTTTCGGGACTCTCACATTCGGTTCATGAAGCTAACTGTTTCGAGCATAGTACGTGACGTGTTTGAAGGCAGCTTAATGTGCTTGAAAGCAACGAATGCCCGTTAGTGGGTGGTCCAACGCCGGCGTACGCGAGTTTCTCCAACCGCAGGTATAAACAGAATCCGCGACTATCGACACGAAAGGTTTTCCAGACGCTGACAGTTTTCCAAAGCACGCCCGCATCGAAAATGGCAAGCAACGATGGATTACATCCGTCGTTAACAAGCTGCAGACTTTCGATGGCACGCGTCGACAGATGGGACAAGCGACGACTGCAAACCGTGAGTAAGCTGTCGGGCTTAACCTGATACGGAGGTGCGCCCTGCGCAGACAAGGGATGCGCACCACATGTCTTATGTGCGTTAGGGACGACGAATTGCGGGGTTGCAAGAGGGGAGTCTCCCCCCACCCCCTCCGTAACGACTTCGACAACATTGTACCTGTGGTGCGAGATGAAAAGAGGTAAAACCACTTTGCAGCGAACCCGCTGCTACTGAGGCACTTACAAGAAATTCGAGATAAAGCAAGACGTCACTCGAAGCGCTATGTGCATCGCAGCTAGACGGGCAGCACCGGCAGATGCAAAATCACAAGCATTCCACCTGACTCCCAGGGAGCTTCCGAGAGTTTACTCTAGCTCCGTGCGCGGTCGGCACCGAAGCGTTGGCTCACCTCCTTCCTGGAGCCGGACTTGGCCTTGAGGCCGGCGCCGGCCACGCGGTAGATGGGGTTCCCCTTCTTGCTAGCCCGCTCCTTCTCCTTCTTGAACGGGTTCACAGAGTTGCGCTTACGTTTTCCCATTATACGACTGGCATCTCAGAGAAGTCTGGAATGGGACCATCAGTGTCTGCCCTCAGACGACTAGAGACCGAACGAACAACCATGTCCTACACAACTCTCTCATGTCATGTCATTGGGGATTTACGACGCACTCAGCTGCTGAGGCTATATGGCGTTGCCTGCCTCTCACCTTGGCAGGAAGGGCGGGCAACGCGGGGAATCGAACCCCGTACCTCTGGCTTCCCAGGCGCGCATAACTTTTTCGCATCCCGTTGATCGTTCTAAGGTGAGTAGAGTTGCGCTCTCGGTTCCAAGTTATGGGGAGAACATTTCAGAGAGGCTGCAGTAAGGAGATAGGTGTATGGTTTCGGGTAGCTGCGGTTATGGGATAAGGCTCGCTTTGAGCAAAACTCGGCCAGCCGGTAGCTATACTATACGAAACGACACACCCCTCACATGTGTTAGTAACTGTTAGTCATTTCACCTTGGAACCATTGAACTTTTTCACCTTAGTCTTAATGCACCTTAGTTTACTCTTTCTTCGCTTCGAGCGACAACCTCGAACACGTACTTATTTCTGAGATTCAAAAACAAAAAACTGCTGAGGCAAAATTCGCGCAACAGAGCGACAACCTCGAACACGTACTTATTTCTGAGATCCAACAACAAAAATTGCTGAGGTAAAATTCGCGGAACAAAGCAGAACCGGGGCCAGTTTGGATGTATTATACCAAGCTGTGACACAAGAATTCAACAAATGGCAGGCCAAGTTACGACATGTCGTCCGCCCAGCCATAATGCGCCAACTTCAACAGAAACGCCTGCGAAAATTACGCCAACCAGCCTCCATCGATACCATTGGGGAATCGATACAGAAATCATCCATATTGTCATAAGAACACATATGGCCAACCGCATGCCAATGATAGCAATTCAAACATAAAAGCAAGCCAAAGTACATAAGACCTTGGCCTCCAGCCACGTGCAGGTTGTAAACCCGTACACGGCTTAAGGCCGAAATCTCGTCCATCTTGGTTTTTTTGTACAAGCATTGACGTGCAACTGATCATTTGCGTTATCATTACAAGGTCTAAAATCACGTCAGAGAACCTCTGCGTACCAAAAAGGTCATCCAAATGAATAACCAACCTCTATCTATAAGGCAGTTTCCCTAAATCCTAGCATCTACCAAAAAAAAAAATCACTCGTCAATTTTTGGCCTCTTCCGAGCAGGCTCAGTGGCCAAAGCACATAGCACTTCACGCGGCACATCCCACGTGATGCGATACATCAGCTTGTTGGGCGCCACGTTGCGCACCATGAACACCTCCTGCACGTGCTCGGCGACGTCACGGCCCAGGTTGGCGTTCAACATGGCTCGGACGCTCTGCTCAGCCACCTCGAGCTCCTTCGTGAATGTGTACACGTGCGCGCGCAGCGGCAAATGCGAGCCCTCCGGCAGCTCCTCCGGCGACAAGAGACCCAGAAACGCGTCGACGAACTCGATGGCCAGCGCCGGCAGGTTGAGGACGGCGTGCATCTGAGCCTGGCCCGGCTTCTCGGTCAGAAACTCCAGCGCAGCTCGCTTCACCTCGGTGCGGATGAACTCGCGGCCGTCCATGTTGAACGTCTGTACGCGCTCGGCCACCTTGTTGGCCTGCACGTTGTGGCGCAGCCAGCGCGCCGACTCGGGGTTGAGGTCGTTGGCGAGCACGTGGCAGCCCTTGCGCGCCGCCGGAACGGCGAACGGCCCCACGCCGGCGAACACGTCCAGCAGCGTGTCACCGCGCCGCAGCAGCGCCACCACGCGCTCGTGCTCCGTGCAGAGGCGCGGGTTCCAGTACACCTGCGAAAAGTCCATGCGGAAGCCGCAGCCATTCTCGCGCGCGTCGACCACGTAGTCGGGCTCGCCGGCCAGCAGCTCCATACTGAAGTTGCGGAAGGTGTTGTCGATGGTGTTGAGCTTGTTGACGACCGTGCGGACGCCACTGTGCTTGTCCATAAGCACGGCGCCGATGAGCCGCCCGTAGGGCAGCAGGTGCTCCTTCAGGTTCAGGTGGATGAGGTGGCCGACGCGGGAGAAGCTGGTGCAGCCGTCCTGGTCGCCGGGCAGCACGGCGCGCAGCACGGCGTCGGCGCGGTAGTTCTCGTACGTCAGCGCCAGCGGCAGCCGGCAGAAGCTGGCCGCCGGCTCCAGTCCCAGCTGCCGCAGGCCCGGCCACGGCAGATCGTCTTCGTCCTTCACCTGGCCCGGGTCCAGCAGCACCACCTTCTGGGCAGCGTCACCGCCCGCCTCCCCGCCCGCCAGTCCCGGCTCCAGCTCCTCGGCCTGCTGCACCGGCCGCAGCGCGGGCACGCGCAGCATCTGCGCCTTCACCAGTCTGCAGACGGCCGTGATGCTGTCGCGCGGCACGCGCAGCGCGCACACGTCCAGTGGCCGGCGGAAGGCGGCGCGGTCGAGAAGCGTCATGCCGCGCACGGCCGCCGGCGGCAGCAGTGGAGAGTCCGCCATCAGTCGGTGGCGCAGCCGGCGCGGAACCCGGCCCAGCTGCCCCACCAGCCCGCCGCACCGCTGTGGGCACACAGGACGCGGCAGTCACTGGCTGAGGAGGTGCACCTGCGGCGCCATCTGGCGGAGCTCTCCGTCTGGTCTCAGGGCTTGTTCCAGGCTTGATCTGGCAGCTTGTGTTGGATATCTTTGACTGTCCTGGGTCATGGCATTGTCATCTTTTTCCTGACATTGATCATCCAGATGGTTGCTGTCAGGTTCCAGGGCTCAGGGCTTTTGCAGTTTCAGTGACAGGCAGCCTAGCTGTTCCCACACTTGCTCAGGTGTGTGCCACCAAACCATATTTCTACCAGTGTCAGCATTGTATCAACAATGCGCTGACAGGACACCTTGTGCAAGGTATTTGGCCATCCTCTTCCCTCTTCTCCGCTTAAATATGCAGTGTACAAGAACCACCTAGCTTCGCACCAATCAAAGTCACCAATTTTCATTTTCAACATCACTCTGGAATTTTTAGGATACATGTCTGGTAATAAAATGCTAACAATACAAGCCACTAATATGCCATACCAGTCAGATTCCTGCCAAAAATAACATACCACCTGCAATTTGACTTTGCAACCATAACCAAAGCTGTCAAAGAGGCTTTGGAGTTACATCTACATTGAACCACAACTTATAATAGATACAGGTTTTCATCAAATCTGTCCCACACTGCTGCACACAAGCATCAATAAGTGCCTGTGGCATACATAAACATACACATATGCTTAATAGATACAGGTCATCATCAAATGTGTCCCATGCAGCTGCACACAGATTATAAGCACCTAAGACATCTAAACATAAATATACTTATGCCAATGCATAGTACCACAATTTCACCACTGCTGAAGCCATCAGTTTTAGCTGATAATAGTCCTAGAATGAACAACATATATATCCTATTTGTGTACACTTTTTGCACTACTTACTTGCATATATTATATTAAAATCAATGTTGCCATTAATTTGCTTAAATATCAAGATAAAAAATGCTGCATTGTGCATGTGGCATTTGCCTACAAGCTGTCCAATGCAAAAAATGACAAACGCTTGGCTGCCCTCCTTAGTTCTTGGGTAACCTGTTCATGCATCCCCACATATTATACTGATACAGCATATAGCCAAATTTTAAAATGTTATTCAGGTCATATAAACTAGAACATTGCCAGAGTACAATAGATGCTTAAGGATGTTGATAGTGAATGAGCACATCCTTATGTCACATTACTTTTCAAATTTAGCAGAGAAGCACATGTTCACTGAGTCAAAGAGAATATTTCACATTTGAAGATACTGGAGCAAGGATCACACATGACAAAACAAGCTCATTTATGATCTACACCTATAGTTTTTAACTGGAAAAGATAGCTCATGGTAGCACAATTCTGTTTCTTAAATATGCTGATCAATGTGCCATGGTTTGCATACATCATCATACCTTGCACAAGAGGAAACAAGACTGAAAGTGGAAACAAGTGGCAAAGAAAAAAATGGAACGGACTGCTCCAGACCACATAATTCTCTGATGCTCTTCAATATATCATTGTTTGGTTACATCACTGCATCTTGCATAACAATGATTGGGAGCCAACTGGTGGCCATCACATCTGTTACCTGTTATCATCTCTAGAATACCAGATGAACTCCTCAACAGTATTTTCTAGCCTTCATCACCACCAACATATGGAATGGAAGGATTTGAATGATGAGATGGTAACATCAGGAATGCCAAGGTGACTCTGAAATACCCTGGTATACTTTTCCCCATTTCTGCTGGTGTGTAGCTCAGAAATTAGAGGGGTGTAGATCTGCAAAAGGACAGGATTTTGAATGGCATCAAAAGGTCATCAAGATGGCTAATTTGGTTAAAAACCCACAAAATGAGCCACTCCCTCTAACATAACATTGTGTAATTCCTACTGCACATACTTTTCTGGTACTAATGCTGCTTTAACTGAAACTCACAGAGTGTAATTTAATCGATCTAAGAATGTCATTGCAACCCTTGAAATCCATGATCGACGATATCATTCGATGCTCTTAGCCCGGGCGATTGCTGGACGGGTAAACGTCTGGGTCCAACAGATTTCTTCTCTGTTCCCTTGGAGAATCGCGAGGGACTTACCGAAACTGTGAGTGAATTCCTGTTAAGGTATATCAAAAGCTTACTAATTATCGCAGCATAAACGAGCAAGTCATGGAACCTTCCACAGACAACCACGGACAGACCACGGCGCAACACGTGACCACGCCACGTTAGCGATATGGATCGAGGAGGCGAAATCGTGCAAGCGCGGCACATCAAGCCTGAAGAAAAGGACTAACCATTGCGGTTTTTCATATGGCTTCCACATTTATGACGCTTGACAGATATCACAACTAATGTTTCGCATAGACAACCCAGAAATGTTTAAATCTATTTCTATTATGGCTTACCAAACGGACGAGGAGACACCAAAAGGGCCGAGGATAAAAATGTGGTATCTTAGTATGGCAAGTCGGGAGATATGAGTTTAGTATACAGACTAGTATATTGTGTATGCACCATGATTTTTGTTTCTGTGGGGACCTGGAGTTCTGTCATAAACTCATCTTAGCGGAAAATAGGTGTTGCTCGTAATAAATATGCTAAAAGGGTGGTACGCTTGTTTCAGCTCTGAGATGTTAACTTAAATATGACGCACGTTTATCATGGTTTGGCATCTGACCCTAAACAAAAGCAAGCAATTCTGACGATGAAAAAACTCTGAAGCTTTTTCAGTGTCACTTGAATACTTGTTTTGGCCATCTGTTTCATTACTCATAGATCATAATAAGCTTGGGCATTCAAAAATACCAAGTTAGTAATATCCTGTTTAGATCTGTGCTGCCATCTTTCCCTTCACCTCACTAAACATTTTACAATCCTCGCAAACCAGACGGCGGAGTAATCTATTTTCTTGATGAGGGGTGGGGGCGGTTTGTGGTTACGCGTATTTGAAAACGGTGTACTCGCATGTCAGTTGGTGTTTCATCCGTCGAAGTGAATTTGTTATGCGAGGTAAACAATTCAGAAGGAGGGGAGGGCGCTGCGAGACTTCTTCGAGGCATATGCACTGCGTAAAGGACTAGGGTAAGTGGCACCGTTTTGAGGTCGCGTATGTTGCATCCGCTCGCTCGACAAAAAGTGCTAAGCTGTAAAATCCAATCAGAATCGGTTGCGGCGGAGCAGGGGTCAAGAGGCAGGAGGGTGGAGTCACCCAAATGTTATATGGTGGGTAGTTTGCCCCTCAAACTGTGTATATAAGGCATTGTGCACAAGCCCTTGCTGTGAATGAGAGAAACCATATTTGAATTGAATTTGAACCCTAATTTCCCAGTGAGTTGCATTGCACCTGGTCAAAAGGATCTTCATTTGATTGCTTGGCTAATTTTTGTACCTCATTAATTTTTGTTAGCATGTTGCATGAGCCACTGCTTTTAAAATTATGTATGAAGGTAGAAGAAATGCAGGTATTTGTCATGTTCATTGTATCAGCAACATCACAGTAGCAATTTCAGTGCATTGTTGTCATAAACCTGCACATTCATGACCCAGCACATGGTCACCACCTACTTCAGTCTGTAAAGAAGCAAATGTTTCATGTGATTATGGTATGGATAGTAATTTAGATAAGGTGAAATCAATGCACACATGTAGCAATGCAAAAATCCAGCACAATTTGGCCTGATCTTAAATCATGATAACTGTGTGCAAGGTTTAGTGCACTGATGCCATGTTTCCTGCAGATTGACCTAAGTACCTAATCACAGAACCTGCAAGTGTGAAAGCAGATACCATGTCTACTTGCTAAACTGTCTGCACTAGATTGTCTAAGTCAGATTGATATGCAAGTATTTTGTGTTGCATTCATTTGGCTTGGCATATCCGTCTTTATAGGATAAAATAGCACTGATTATTGTGATATTCTTTTGCATAATGGTTTCAAACCACTTACATCTTTTGGCAGCAAGTTTAAGATTGCTATTCCCATACAATATCCCATGCAACATCTCCATCCTTGCCACCTCCTGAACATGTGTAAAAGATCAACCTCTTATTTTTGTAGCTTTCTTAAGATTTAGGATTGATTCAATATGTAAATAATTAATGTGGTCCTAGTTTTGAATGTTGAAATGGTATTTGGTATAAGATAAATCTGCCCTATTTGAAGTTTTATTTCTGTTCCTAATATTTGTGTTCAAGTTTTGATATTCAGCCTCTGTTTTAATTGATACATCATATGTTGTCTCTGATCTTTTATTGCTAACTAAATTGATGTTAACTTGCACACATGATTAAACAATGCTGAATACCATGCTGCTTGGGGAAATTATTTGTTTAAGCCAAAAGATCTGTTCCTGATCAAAATCACATTGATATATATATATATATATATATGTGTGTGTGTGTGTGTTTGCTTAAAAATAACTGCTGACTCAGCATTGAGGAGTTTTTTGATGCATCATTCTAGTTTCTAAGTTTCTAAGCCTTTGATGCATCATTCTAGTTTCTGAGCGATGACGCCAAGTCAAAGGCCCGGAGACTAGAACGATGCATCAAAAAGCCTGTCAGTGCTAAGTCAGCAGCTATTTTTAATCAAACATGTATCAAAGAAAGCATGCTGCCAATATATTCCATGTATATATATATATATATATATATATATTTCTGGTCTATAGTGCTCATGCACCTCATAAGCTGCAAGAATGCAAGGTTATTGATCTCAGGACCAACTTACATATTACTGTTTATGTAACTTGCACATACTTTGTAACTGGCCTCATGATTGGTAGGTATAGTTTTCCTAATGAGTGTTGAGAGGGGGATCCTGATGAGTGGTGTGAAGTGTTGCCTGATGGGTGGTGGGTAGGGCTACACTGATGTGTGGAAGGGAGTCTTGTGACTGTGATGTCTTCAAAAGGATGGGCTGTGAACTGCACTGAATGACCCTTAAAATGACTTTTAGTTCAAAGCCTGATACACATATTAAACACCCCTTTTAAAACCCTTCAGAGATGTTTGTTGATTGCTACATCCAGGAGAAAATCATGTGTGCAAAGGATGGCCTTGATCTGGCATTTACCACTGCAAAACATGCTTCTACTGTAATTGTTTACAGCTATGCCATGCAGTAAAACTGATTCCTATCTTTCACTGAGGCCTCAGCAAAGCTTTTGCAGGAGTTTCTGCATTTGAAGCCTGTTTAGAGCTATGTTTTATTTATTCCTGATCGGGATTTCAGTCTCCGTGTACTTTTGGTCCTTGGAAGGATCTCTTGGTCACAGTGAACAGAACTTGCAAGAGCACTGTTCCAAGTTGTTTTGGTACATCATCTGTCATTAGTACCTGTATGCTCTGATTAGTGCCACACTTCTCCTGGTAGAATCATTTGCCACTATCATTCTCATGCAGGGCTTTCTTGGCATCCTTGATGACAGGTGCTATATTTCAGTCCATGATTTTAGTGGCCAGGAAGTCCATTTTGCTTCTGTAGACATTCAGGACTTCCACTGAACTGCAAATGGGGTCTGCAATGTTTTATTTTTTTGTAGACATTTGACATGAGACCCACCTGAACACTCAGAGGCTGACACTCCAGTCCTTGCTCCTGGAGCATCACAGTCATCCTACTCACCATGCACAGCACATTCTTGCTGAAGAACAGCAGACTAGCCAGTTTCCATTGAAATACCATGTGGTGGCAAACTTCTTGGAGATGGCATTTGATATTGCAAATATCTAGGAAGCTTGTTAAGCTGTGCAGAAAGCCCCAGTTGTGTGCACCTCCAGTGAAGTGCAGAACCATGTGGTGGTGTGCAGAACAGCAATGAAAGAGACAAGGCACTTGGCATCCACTGTAGATTGTGATACTGTGAATTGTGTTTGAACTATCTGATATAAAGGAGAAAATGAGTTAGGGAATCTTACTTCCCCACAGAAGTTCTTCATTAAAGGGAATGATTGTGAACTCTAAGAACTCATGGCAACCTTTGCTTGGCTGAACCTCAGCCGGTTTCTCGCGGCAAAAGGCGACGGCGTGATCCTTGAAAGAAACCTCTGCCATTGTCAGCTTTGGTTGTAATGCACTTTAGTTTAAAATGTGCCCTGATCAGTGTGTCTCCATGCTCTCTTGAAATGCTTGAATAATGAGAATGACAGTCAGAAACAACAGTGCGAGCATTTGGTTCCAAAAACGGACTGAAGCAAGTGGACAAAGCTGCTTCTTGTACCAGTTATAGTTACGAGCTAAGTGCTGGAGGTGTGTCTCCAATTTCTGTTGGAGGAGTTTGCATCTTGCCAGCGATCTTGGAGTACGGATGTCGCCTGGAGGTCTTGTCGAATCTCAGCCTTCCAGACATTCCACGACGGCGACGGCTGCCCCTGCGCTGGTTACGCTGTCCAGCTTCGGAACTTCGAGAGGCTGGGCGACTCCTGGACCTGTTGCAATGACAGCTGACCCACCTTCTCCCCTCCATCTTTGGATAATAGTTCGCCGTCCCAGGGGTCCACTAGGCTGAATGTTGCGGAGAAGCATTGTCTGGTTTCTCCCGCAGTGGCTCTCCTTGGTGATCTGTGTGACCGGCTGGTGGAACCTCTGTCGATCGCCAGTTCATAGGAGCCGTTGCCGAGGGCTGAGGCCATCGTCGATGGTTGGTGAAGTGCGGAGTGATCACTGCTGGGCTCGATCGGGCGCTGCTGCCAACCAGGAATAACGATGTTTCTTGACTCTCCTGCGATGTCGCTTCAGAGGACAGGCATGACAAATGGTCGTAGGTCATCTTCATCTTGTAATTGTGTGGGCCGGCAGTTCAGGAGTTTAGGCTGGGCAGTTGATTCCTGAAAGGAATCAAGTGCCCAACCTAAGTCGACCTGATTCGTTTCAGGAATCAAGTCGACTCCCACTGTGAAGCCTTGTCAACGTTGCTCCGGCAGGGCCCGAAGGAAGCCTTCCCTGCCTGGGACTGTGATAATGTCCGTCGGTCGATATGGACAGTGTCGAGGAGATCCTGAGGCTTCACTCGAATTCTCTCTTCTGTTTTCGTTTCCCCTGTTTTCCCTGAGAGGGCAGCTCGCTACGAACATCAAACGAGGTTCCGTGTTCCACACCCAATCACCTCACAAATATCGGCACTGAAAACGCGCACGCTGCACGCGACGGTCAGCCAGCTATTTCGCACCGACGACGCTGCCCCCCCCCCCCCCCTGCCCCTGCTTTCTCATCTAACTTTCTGCGCCTTCTGGAGAGCAGCTTGTGGCGGGCCACGGCGCGTTTGTGTGTGTGTGTGGGTGCGTGCGTGCGTGCGTGCGTGCGTGCGTGCGTGCGTGCGTGCGTGTAGGTTGATGAACCCCGCGCGCCGGTTGTTGCTCTCAACAAAAGTGTTAACATCAGTGCTGTGAAAAGCCAGGCTTGATTAGGTGTGATGTTCATTTACAAACACAAGCGCTTGATACGCGCATGCGCCCGTG